AGGCTAATCATGTTTTGGGTGTACTATTCCTTTATATATATTTCTTGCCTGTGTCAAAAAAGTTTCAAGCTCAGGATGTTTTGCTTTAATTCCTGCATTTGAAACTTTGGATGAACCGTCAGAATTTATAGATCCACATCTTGAATAGAACTCAAGCAAATTTGGACTGAATAAGTTTAATCATGTTTGTTCCTCAAAGGTTTAAATGGGGCAGGCGCAAATGTGATATTGGATCAATGCCAAAAGTGCAAAATTGCATTTTATAAAAGGGAATCTGATCAGGAAAAATATGCTGATTTCCATTATTGCACGAGGCAAAACCTTTGCTCCTCAGATTTAGTCGTTTCATTGAAATTTACCAATAAAATCACCAAACTGAATAGAAAATGAGAATAACAGAGCAGCTCATGTAACGCACGGCCGTTAGATCACCTGAAATGGTCGCACAGTGACCTCCGACCCCTCATTGGAAAGGTCCGAGCCTCTACTTTCCAATGATGGCGGCCATTAGGGGGCGGGGCTAGAAATGAATCAGCAGAGTCAGATTTTAAATCTGTTTACACAGCTATGAAACAAAAAGTACTTGTGAAAAAATTATTTTAAGACATTTTTTAGACATTTGTGTGGATGAAACACCATGTGACTGAGTTTTGTTCATTTCTATAAACAGATAAACATGAGCAGGTGTCAGCTGGGCCCGGTACCGGGCCGGCCGGGTTTAAGGCGTTAAATTGGAGTTTGCGTTTGTGTTTCAGAGCCCCGGCCAAGGAATCATCAGAGGAGGAGTACGACTCCGGCATGGAGGAGGAGAACTGGCCTCGGCAGGCTGACGCCGCCAACAACTGAACCACGTCTCTCATTTCACCTGAAATCATTCGATTCCCACAAACCCCCCCCCCTCCCTCTGGACACCGTGTTCGGTTCCAGCCCTTATTTTTATTACTTCACCTGACAAACGAAACCATGGACGCTTCGTGATGAAGAAGCTGAGAGAGAGTAACAACCTTTGGGTGTCTTTGTGTGGGATAATAAATCTCTAGCGGTGCACCCAGTGTGGACCTTTTTATCATATATTTCAATCTCTGGGGATTGTTAACATTTTATCTATATAAAGATAAGATTTTATTCAAAAAGAAAAAAGAAAAAAACATTTGTAGGTAGTTTGTATCCTCTTTTTGTGCTGATTGGTTGTAATGGGAGGGGAAGCAGACGGCGTTAATGGGATCATATTTTAGACGTGAAGTCTGAGGGGCGGCTGGCGTGACGTTAACGTGTCGAGAAATGCCTTAAATCACAAGGGCGTGATATTCCACAAAACGCATCAATATTTTGATGTTTCTTCCTTTGCCACCGTTGTGATAACGGTGCTGGAGGGGAAATCGGTTGTAAATGTTAAGCTAAGCTGCATGAGTATCGTTTGTAAGCGGTTTGTAATACATGGAGGTAGAAAAACACACCAGCACATCGAACACGGCAGGTGAAACATCCGTTTTCTTAATGTTCTAATGTCCAGCTCCTTAGGAATCCGTTTCCGTTGGGACCTCGGAGTGGCTGGATTCACAGAACGAAGACGTTTAGCAGACCAAACCCTGCACCTTTTCTAAAAACCTCTGTTTGCTTTGTAGTTTTCAACCTCTTTCAATCCGGGTTTGTTTTCATTTGCAAATCATGAAAATAACCAGACTCCCTCCGTAGAGCTGCAGATACTTTCTTTCTGTGTTGCACCTGTGTCAGAATGGCACCTCACGTCCTGTGATGTCACATCCTGTTACCAGACGGTACCTCTGTGCTTCTGTTTCATGGAGACGCCACCCACAGGGTCTCTGACTCACCAGGCTGCTGTGGTGAAACGCGCTCCGTCTCCTCTTTGCTTTAACTTTCTTTTTTTTCTCTCTCTGTGAAGCTCTAAGCTGCTGTAATTTCAGACGTCTGTTACAGAAATGATATTAAAATAAAACTCCCCTCTCAAAAGCTTGTGAATCCTAAATTCATTGTCATCGTGTAAAAATATATAAATAAAATCTATACCTGAGTTTCTGAATTTCTTTTCTTCTAAGCTGGAAACTGAATAGTGAGTCCGGGTGAACAATGTGATGTTGCACGGCACTGACCGGCTGTCAGCTTTATGTAACCGGCTAATCTCTGGAAAGTATCGTGCTGTGCCTTCGTTTCCTGATACATCAGCATTTCTTTAATCCCGCCTCTTTAAATTTCATTAGAAATTACATAATACAGTTAAAAAATACTGTCAGAATAAAGTTAATTCATTTAATAAGTTAGAAAAAATGATTATAGTAATCTATTTAAAATAATAATTCATTTAATTTATAATGCACTTTTCACCAAAAAGTACAGAAGAGGATTAGGGCCATGAAGAAAAAAAAAAAGTTAACTGATTTTTAAATTTTATTTCAGTTTAACATGGGAAAAAAGTCAGAATTCTGACTTTAATCTCTGAATTCTGACTATAAAAAAAGTCAGAATTCTGACTTTTTTCCCAAGCTATACTGAAATAAATAAAAAAAAAATCTGTTAACTTTTTTTTTTCAGTGGCCCTAATCCTCTTCCGTAAAAAAGGCCTTAAAGTGCTACAAAAAAAGCATTTAAAAAACAATTAAAAAAGAAATACATAGAGATAATGACAAATAATTATAATAATAAAAGCCGTTTTAAAAAGAGAAAAAGAAACATCTAAAGGGGACCAAAAGTTTTGCTAAAAATAAATGTTTTAAGGCTTTTTTAAAACACTCAGTGGACTGAGGAGCCCTGAAGATATCAGGAAGGGAATTCCACAGACGTGGGGCAGCAGCACAGAATGCTCCCATCGTCCTGAGTCTGGTTCTGGGAATGTGGAGCAGGTTTGAGTGAGTAGAGCGAAGGGAGCCGGACGTGTTCTGTGGCTTGATAAGTTCTTTGAGGTGGGGGGGGGGCATGTCCATGGATGCATTGATGTGTGAGGAGGGAGACCTTGTATTCTATCCTGGTGGGGATGGGAAGCCAGTGTAGTGAATGGAGAACGGGGGTAATGTGCTCATGTTTCTGCACTCCCATCAGGATCCCAGCTGCAGAGTTTTGAACGTACTGAAGCCTCTGCAGACTCTTTCTAGGGATCCCAATGAAAAGTGCGTTTCAATAGTCCAGTCTGGAGGAGACCAAGGCATGGAGCAGCTTCTCGGCGTCTGGGAGGGAGAGAATGGGACGGAGTTTGGAGATGTTACGGAGGTGGTAGAAAGAAGTCTTGCATAATTGATTTATGTGGGCTTCAAAAGTGAGTAGTGAGTCCATTCTTACACCAAGATTACTAACGGTCGATGAAAGCAGAATGTTAGTACCAGAAAAAGTGATGCTGGTTATGGTTAATGATTTAGTTTGATGAGGAGTTCCAACCAGGATGGCTTTGATTTTGGAGCTATTTAGTTGAAGAAAGTTTCCCTCCATCCATACTAGAGATGCAGGATATAATCGCCCCCCTATCGGTATCGGCCTTAAAACTGAATATCGGACATCGGCCCCCCCACCGATATTTAACCCCATATTTTATCAGCTTCTGAGTTTCTAAAGTTTAAAAAAAAAAAAAAA